AAATCGAGATCCTGGGGTTAAGGACATACTCAAGTTCGTGTCTTTTGGGAGAGGGAGAAAAAGTCCACTCCTTCAACTCTCCCCACCCCATGCCTCATCTTATAAACCTCTCTCACGTTCCCCCTCAGTCGTCTCCTTTTTTAAACTGAAAACTCCCAAACTCCATCCCTGGGCGGTGAGGCGCTGACTCTGCAAGAAGCTGCCCTGCTCCCCTCTGACAGATGCAAAGACCCCCCCGCCGCCTGCTCCACATATTGAGGAGAAATCAGGAGGTTGGAAGGCCCCTGAGGTGCTAGAACGGGACTGGCTTGCTCAGGAAGGCAGGCGGGAGATTCCAGCCCGATCTGGGAAACGATCAGTGTTCCTCTGAATAATGGAAGGACTCCCTGCGTATAGAAAGCTAGCAGTGCAGGGATAAAGCTTCTGCCCGCTGTCTCTGCTTGTGTGAATCAGGTCGGAGGCACACGTCTTCAAGGCACACCTTGTCTCTTTGCTTCCGTCCGGCAACTGGCACAGCTGACCCTGAAAAGATTCTGCTACTCTCGTGCATCATCTCTGGTAGCCTTGGAGGGAAGCCCCGCCCCCCTTTCCACACAGACAGAAGAGCAGCAAAACTGCCTACTCAGAGGAGCAGGATTTCCAAATGGAAAGGAGAGGAGAAGAGGAAAGGCAGAGGGTTTAGGGTTGCTAGCTTCCAGGTGGGACCTGGCGGATGTCCTTGAAACCCTCCCCCGGGGCACTGTCCCCCCACGGCAAATATCCAGGAATATTCCAATCCAGATTTGGCAACCCTAACCCCCCCCCCCCCAAAAAACTAGCTTCCCAAAGAGCAAAGGACATGGCTGCATTGTGTCCTGCATTGTTGGGGAACCCGATGGGCGAAGAAGCCAAAGCCACCTTGGGGCTGGGTGGGGAAGAAATGGAGGAGCAGAAGGAGTGGGGGGGGGGGGTATTCACACCACCACCCCCTAAAATGTCCTGCTCCTCCCCAGGTTTAACTCACTAACCTCACCCCACCCCGGCCCCAAAGGGCAAGGACGTTCCTTTCCTTTTGCACATCTCTTGCCAGTCTTTCTTCCCCGGAGCTTCCTTGGGGGGTTTCTTTGCCTCTGCACAAAGCGACTTTTCGGATCGAGGGGGGGGGTCTCTCCCCCCCAATAAAGTGCACCCCCTCCTTCTTTCTCTTCACTTTGGGTCTTGCATTGCAGACTCTTGCCCCCATCTCTCCCCACCACCACCAATAAAAGCCCAGTCCTTTTGAGCTCACCCAATCCTCCCCAGCAGGCATTCAAGCAGCAGACCGGGCAATTCACACCTGGCTTCTGCAACACCGGAAGCCTGGTTTCTCCCCCCCCCCACCTCTCTAGGATGGAGGACTCTCTCCGTTTAACTCTTGGAGAGGATCTCAGCGGTCAAAAAGCGACCCGGGAGAGAGAAAGGAAAGGCGGAGAAATGTCCAGGGACAGTCCCGCCCCTAAGCACTACACCAAACTGGTGTACACCAAAACAGTCCCCCATAATCAACTGATTTCTCTGAACAGTCAAAATCATTTCTCCAGGACCCTGGGTAATATGTTAAAAGGTAAAGGTTTCCCTTGCTCGAAAGCCAGTCGAATCCTTCCAAGCCGAAGAGCCAGCGCTGTCCGAAGATGTTTCTGTGGACATGTGGCCGGCATGACTAGACGCTGAAGCGCACGTAACGCTGTTACCTTCCCACCGAAGCGGTACCTATTTATCTACTTGCCATTTATTGCGCTGGAACTGCTAGGTTAACAGGAGCTGGGGCCAGAGACGGGAGCTCACTCCCTAACACGGCACCAGGGTCTTGAACTGCCGAGCAGGGGTCATTTCGTAGAAAAAGAGCTAGGGGGGCTCATTAGCATAACTCATTAGCATATGCCACACCCCCTGACATCACCGGAAGTGTGTCCTCCCCACAGCCGGCAGCGAACTCCAGCGGGCACCAGCAGGGAGCTCCAGGCCCCGCCCTCCCGCACCTCACCGGGGGGGGGGATGGCGTCCCCCCGCGTCCCCCCCAAAAATGACCCCTGCTGCCGAGCTACCGACTTTCCGGTCTGCAGCTCAGCGTCTTAACCTCTGACCCATCGTGGCCCCATGTTACCAGTTAATTAAATGAATAATCCAATATTCCATATAACTCTCACCGTTAACCTACCTCACAAGTTTATTGTTGTGGGGGCAAAACAGGAAAACAATGTAACCCACTTTGGGTCCACAAGTCATTTGTTTATAGAACTAATTTTTGTCTACAGCTCACTTAAAAAGTGAGATGATCTCTCTTGTCACTGCCTCAGGTATTCTTGCAACATTCCAGGCAGGAAGCAGACGTGCCGATTTGGGATTCGGGATTCAAACTACCGTTAAATATTGCAAGTGGAACATACTAGGTGGGTGTCAGGCAAAGCAAGGAAAGGAAGGGCTCTCAGGAAGAGGAGGAGGAGGCGGAAGAAGAAGAAGAAGAAGAAGAAGAAGAAGAAGAAGAAGAAGAAGAAGAAGAAGAAGAAGAAGAAGAAGAAGAAGAAGAAGAAGAAGAAGAAGAAGAAGAAGAGATTGGCATTCTACCCTGCCCTTCACTCAGAGTCTCAGAGCTGCTTACAAACTCCTTTCCCTTCCCCTCCCCACAACAGAAGCCCTGTGAGGTAGGCGGGACTGAGAGAGCTCTGAGAGAACTGTCCTTGAGAGAACAGCTCTGACAGAACTGTGGCTTGCCCAAGGTCATCCAGCAGCTGCAAGTGGAGGAGTGGGGGGATCAAACCCAGTTCTCCCAGATTAGAGTCCGCGCACTTATATAAGGCATATAAATAAAATAAAATTAGCAAAGCAGATGTGCTTTTTTTCAGTTGTGGTATGCTAGATGAAGGCTTTCAGAGTCTGAATATTAAACCAGTATAGGAAACCATAGGGGATCGCTCATTTTCATCATTAGATGCTCCTCAGTATTTATCATTTGTATTTATAACCCGCCCCTTCCATTCAATGTTGTTGTTGTTCAGTCGCACAGTCGAGTCTGACTCTTCGCGACCCCATGGACCAGATCACGCCAGGTCTTCTGGTCTTCCGCCGTCCTCTTCCATTCAATACAGTTAAAAATGTAAAGCATTTAAAGCGATAATAAACATTAAAACACAATCACAATTCAGACAGGTCAACTGGTTGAGAGAGGCCTGTTGTTTGAGTTGGTCGGTGGGGGAGCCATTCTGGGACGTCCGCTGCCTCAGCCAATCAGATCTCAATACAGGAAGGGAGCATTCAGGAAGGAGGTTGCATCCCATTATCCCAGCACTGGAGGTCAATTTGGGGAACATCTTCACAGCTACCCTGCTCAGGTAGGAGAACCCAAAGGACACCCAAAAAGTGCAAAAGACCAGCACACTGAAGGTGACCAGTTTGGCTTCGTGGAAGGCCCCCAGGCACGTTCCTGGTTAGGAAAGCCAGCCTGAAAGAAGCCCCAGGGCACCATGAAACATGGCAACAGATCCTTGGTTGCATTGCAGTGTGGTCTGTCCAGCCTCGGAGGGCAGGTCAGACTCCTCGGGAAGCGGGGAGAGAGTCCCAGCCAGAGGCTGCAGAGGCCAACGGGAATACCAGAGTCCAGGGCTATTTTGGGGCAGGAACGCACAGGAAGGGAGTTCCGGCTGGCTCCTGAGTTGGCCACGCCCAGCAGGAACTCATTAGCATAACAGGCCACACCCAATAGCAGAAACCCATTAGGATTGGCTACTTTAGGGGTGTGTGGCCTAACATGCAAAGGAGTTCCTGCTACAAAAAAAGCCCTGGGTTTTGACAACAAACAAGGTAAACAGAATAAGGAGCCAAAGGTGGGTGTGGCTGGATGAGCACACTTCTGGTAACATGGGGGTGCGGCCTAATGGGCTAATGAGCGGTGCTGTCAGGGGTGTGGCCTAACATGCTAATGAGTTTTACTGTTGGGTGTGGCCTATTATGCTAATGAGTTCCTGCTGGGCTTTTTTCTACAAAAAGAGCCCTGCCAGAGTCTTCCCGGGCCATTTCTTGGCAGGGTGGCCATGAAGGCGGCCACTACGGCGAGTTTTGGCCAGGGCTATTTTTGGGCAGGAACGCACAGGAACGGAGTTCCGGCTGGCTCCCAAGTTGACCACGCCCAGCAGGAACTCATTAGCATAATAGGACACACCCAATAGCAGAAACTCATTAGGATTGGCTACATTAGGGGTGTGGCCTAACATGCAAAGGAATTCCTGCTACAAAAAAGCCCTAGGTTTTGACAACAAACAAGGTAAACAGAATAAGCAGCAAAAGGTGGGTGTGGCTGGATGACCACACTTCTGGTAACATGGGGGTGCAGCCTAATATGCTAATGAGCTATGCTCTCGTAGGTGTGGCTGGATATGCTAATGAGTTTCTGTTGTTGGGTGTGGCCTATTATGCTAATGAGTTCCTGCTGGGCTTTTTCTACAAAAAGAGCCCTGGAAGGCAGCGACTGAAAAGATGTTGCTGAAGGCGGTTTCTCGGAAGAGGCGGGTCAACTTCCTCGGCTGGCTGATGCACAGAAAGGAGGAGCGGAAGGAAAGCAGGAGGGAGACGAGGAGAAGGCCCCACCCCTCCATCTGCTCCCTCCGTCGCTCCCATCCCCCCAAATCTCACTCTCAGCCCCCACCCCCCCAAAAAAGCCTAAATGTGCCTCTCTGGAAGGCACCTGAACGTCCTCCAATCTCCAAAGGTGCCGAATTCGGATCCTGCACTCAGGTCCGCTGGAGGAACCACGTGGCTCTGCACAAAGGAGGACAAGCCCGGGGGGGGGGGCGGGGGGGGGGGGGAGGAAACCGAAGGGAGGCGAGGAAGAAATTGGGTGTGTGGATGTGGGTGTGCTCTCCTTCATCGCCTGCTACACCGCCTTTCTCTCTTGCACTGCAGCCCCCAGCCTCACATTTCCCCCTTTACCTCCTCCGAAGCCTCTTTTGGGCTCGCCAGATTTCCTGCCAGCCGTTCAAGCAGAAGACCAGGAGGCTCAGAGGCGCTTTCTTGCAAGGGAGAGAGGAAGGGGGGGGCCAGCCCCTCCGCCCGTGAGCCTCTCTAGAAATGCAGCGCTCTCGCTCTCTCTTGCTCTCGCTCTCTCTCTCTTTAACCCTTCGAGACACTCCTCATTTTGTAAAAGGAAAAAGCAAAGGGGGCAGAGCACATACATATGCCACAAGGTATAGATAGGGGCTCTGGGGCAAGGGATGCTCTGTATTCTTGGTGCCTGTTGGATTGGATGGGCCTTTGGCCTGATCCAACATTGGCGTCTCTTATGTTCTTATATGGTTGCAATCAATGTTCCCTCTAAGCTGTGGAGTCCTGTGAGCAAAAACTCTACTTTGTGAGCTCCTGGCATTACAGTTGTGAGCGAGCCATTTGGCTACTGCATAAATTAGTTTGCTCTGGAGCCCGTCCTTCCTGAGCTAAGACAAAAATGTGTGAGCCGGAGGCTAAAAAACTGTGAGCTGGCTCACACTCACTCAGCTTAGAGGGAACACTGGTTGCAATTGCTTCCGTCCGTTCCCCACACAGGAATCGGGACGACGTCCTAACCAGGTGCTGGGTGGGACGCCACCCTGGTGAGAAATGCCACCAAAAAAATCCCCCCAACAATCCCTGCCTAGAGAGCATCTGAGGCCTTCGAGGGATGCTCAGGAGGGAAAATGCCAGCAGAGGGACGTACTAAAACGGAGGACAGCGATAGGCCCATAGGCACACTGGACGCACAGTGCTCATTTTGTAAAAGGCAATACTCATCTAAGAACATCAGAGAAGCCAAGGTTGGATCAGGCCAAAGGCCCATCCAGTCCAACACTCTGTCACACAGTGGCCAAAAATACCAGGGGCCATCAGCAATGCTCCCTCTAACCTGCGGAGTCGTGTGAGCAAAAATTCTACTTTGTGAGCAACTGGCATTAAAGTTGTGAGTGAGCGATTGGGCTCCTGCAGAAATTAGTTTGCTCTGGAGCTCAGCCCTTCCTGAGCTCAGACAACAATGTGTGAGCTGGAGGCTCAAAAAGTGTGAGCTGGCTCACACTAACTCAGCTTAGAGGGAACATTGGCCATCAGGAGGTCCAGCAGTGGGGCCAGGACACTAGGAGCCCTCCCACTGCTGCCCCCCCCCCCCCCCCCCCCCAAGCACCAAGAAGAGGGAGCATCACTGGCCCCAGACTGAGAACATAAGACACTATTTTAGGAGCCTTGCCAAAGGCCCATCCAGTCCAACACTCTGTGTCACACAGTGGCCAGAAATACCAGGGGCCATCAGGAGGTCCAGCAGTGGGGCCAGGACATTAGAAGCCCTCCCACTGTTGACCCCCCCCCAAGCACCAAGAAGACAGAGCATCACTTGCCCCAGAGCCCCTATCTATACCTTGTGGCTAATAGCCACTGATGGACCTCTGCTCCATATGCTTATCTAATTCCCTCTTGAAGCCGTCCATGCTTGTAGCTGCCACCACCTCCTGTGGCAGTGAATTCCATGTGCTAATCACTCTTTGCGACTCCCCCCCAAAAAAAGGGTACTGCTACACCACACCAATGTTCTCGCTAAGCTGTGGAGTCTTGTGAACAAAAATTCTATTTTGTAAGCTACGGGCATTAAAGTTGTGAGTGAGCGATTTGGCTACTGCATAAATTAGTTGGCTCTGGAGCCATCCTTCCTGAGCTAAGACAAAAACATATGAGCCGGAGGCTAAAAAAACTGTGAGCTAGCTCACATTTACTCAGCTTAGAGGGAACACTGCACCACACTGGTGAGAAATGCCACAGAAAAGCCCCCAAACTAGCTTAGAGAGTGTTTCAGCCCTTCAAGGGACCCAGGAGGAAAATACAAGCAAGCAGAGCGTCTGTCTGAGAAAAGTGCAAACCAATTAAATGAAACGAAATATGATATCCCTCCACAAACTGTCAGGCCTATTTTAAAGGGATGCATATTTTTTTTAAAAATGTTGCTCATTATCGGATCTGGCAACCCTACTCCCCCCCCCCCCTCCAGCCACCAGGGTGGATCTGGGCTGCCTATTTTAGGAGCCTTGCCAATAATTGAAGGGCAGGTCTTGGCCAATGCTCCCTCTAAGCTGTGGAGTCGTGTGAGCAAAAATTCAACTTTGTGAGCTGGGTCAATCGGTTTTGTGACCCCGACCGTCGTGCTCTCTGGGGTAAATATGGGGAAAGGCGGACCCTCGGGTATGCCGGACACTGGCCATAAAGGGCTTTAAAGGTAAGAACCAGCACCTTGAATCGAATTCGGTATGCTATTGGCGACCAGTGCAGTGCCTTCAGCACAGGCTGGATGTGTTCCCACCTGGGGAGACCCATCAGAAGCCGGGCCGTGGCATTCTGCACTAGCTGCAGCTTCCAAATTTGCAACAAGAGCAGCCCCATGCAAAGAGCATTACAGCAGTCTAGTCTTGAGGTCACCATCACGTGGATCACTGTTGCCAGGTCCTCGCAGTCGAGGAAGGGAACCAACTGCCTAATCAGCCGAAGGTGGTAAAAAGCTGACTTGGCAGTGGCTGCTATCTGGGCCTCCATTGATAAGGAGGCATCCAGGAGCACTCCCAAACTCCTCACCAATGGCGCTGGCACCAACGGCGCCCCATCGAAGGTTGGGAGTGGGGTCCCCCCCCCCTGCACCACCCCGACCCAGGCACAGACCGAATTCTACCAGGCCTATAATTAGGAGCCGCCACTACGTTAACATCATAGTAACAGCTACAGTCCTGGCCCAAAAGATGCCAGGCTTGCAACTACCAGGGCCAGGGCCTTTTCAGTGGCAGCTCCATCCTGGTGGAATGAGCTCCCGGAGGAGATCAGGGCCCTGTGGGATCTTTTACCATTCCGCAATTTGATCTACTATATAGTATAACATAGATAACATCCTAGAAATTTTTACAAGATTTTCACATAACAGTTTGTTATAATAAACAAGTTTGTTATGGGGATGATAAACAACACGTATCACACTTTTAATTTCATATTAAAACTGTCTTATAGTATTGTCGTCTACTATTAAACCTTTCAGTTATATAATCTAAAGAGATTAGTTATAATAGTCATAGCAAACTCTCCATTTTTTCCCCCCCGAATTCATCTTTCGGTCTTTGGTTAATGTAGTTTGTCAGTTTTGCCATAACTGTGTATATGCCATAATTGTGTAACTGGATAGAAGATCTGATAAGCCGTCTCCCTGTGGGCATAACATCATAGGACACTTGGAACTGAGTTGATCCATCTTGGAGTCACGATATTAATAACTGACTGAGCACCGTTGTTTTTAATGATGTTGGATGTTTTTATTATGTATTATATGTTTTAATCATGGCATGGATGTACCTTGCCCTTGTGAGCCGCCCTGAGCCCATCGGGGAGGCCAGGATACAAATATGAAAAATAAATAAATATAAATAAAATATTGTTGCATCTTGTCTACCCAGTTCTCAATAGTTGGGCAACCCTCAATTTTCCACTCGGCTGCAAAAACTACCCTTGCTGCCATTAGCACGTATCTGGACAGTTCATATATTGTTCTATCCATATTCAGTGGTAAGATTCCTAATAACATTGTCTCTGGTGACTTGGCGAATTTAATATTCAAATTTTTTAAAATGTCAGTATGTATTTCCGTCCAATTTCTGCTAGGGTTTTTTTTTTTTTAACAAGACCACCACATATGGTAAAAGGTACTGTCTATCTTTTTACAGGAGAAATTTTTGTGGGGCTGTGCCTTTAAGAAAGGGGGCGGAGCACCCCAAAGTCCCACTGTAACTACGGGTCTGATCCCAACTCCATCAAGTATGTCTCTGTGGGGGCCATCGGCATGTGGGCAGCCTCCGCTTTGAGCGCCCCCTCGTCAAAGGCGGCAAAGTTGTGGGATTCTACACTGCCTGGAAGCCCAACTGACCCATCCCCATGGACCTGGCTGGATTTCCCGTGGCCCTCTAGCAGCTGCTGGCCAATTGGGAGGCTCGCTTTGACTTGCTGGCCGAGCGCAGCTACGTTGAGTGGAGCCTGCTGCAATTGATGGCATCTGTGGAGGAGCTGGAGGCCAAAGCAGACAGCTGCACCAAGGTGCTTGTTTGGCACTCCCGTACAGAGAAGCCCAAGGTGAAACAAGAGGAGCTACTTCAGAAGCAGGGCCTGGGCTCCGACCCCCACCATGGCAGTCTGATTGGGTCCCCACTCGGCTGTAGCAGTGGAACTGGCACCGCCGTGGGGTGCACGGTGGAGGAAAGGTTAGTGTGCTGTCTTGGCTGGTTACCACAAAGACTACACACTGGAAACATGGTCCGGAATCAAGGTAAGCCACAGAGCCAAAGGTTGGATAGCCGGGAAGTCAATTCAAAGTTGCAGGTTTCACGGACAAGGAGCAGCCGCTACACACACACAGAAGAAGGTCCGAATGTGCAGAGTTGCTGCCACGCTGGAGCAGGTGCACAGAGGGCTTTTAAGCAGGTCCTCCCTCCCTGGGAGTTGAGTCTGCCATGGCTTACAGCTCCTCCCATTGCCTTTGCAGGAGCTGGAGTCTGAACATAAGAACATAAGAGACGCCAATGTTGGATCAGGCCAATGGCTCATCCAGTCCAACACTCTGTGTCACACAGTGGCCAGAAATACCAGTGCCATCAGGAGGTCCACCAGTGGGGCCAGGACATTAGAAGCGAAGCCCTCCCACTGTTGACCCCCCCCCCAAGCACCAAGAAGATAGAGCATCACTTGCCCCAAAGCCCCTATCTATACTTTGTGGCTAATAGCCACTGATGGACCTCTGCTCCATATGCTTATCTAATTCCCTTTTGAAGCCGTCCATGCTTGTAGCCGCCACCACTTCCTGTGGCAGTGAATTCCATGTGTTAATCACTCTTTGGGTGAAGAAGTACTTCCTTTTATCCGTTCTAACCCGACCGCTCTGCAGTTTCATGGAGTGCCCACGAGTTCTTGTATTGTGAGAAAGGGAGAAAAGTACCTCTTTCTCTACCTGCTCTTTCCCATGCATAATCTTATAAACCTCAATCATGTCACCCCTCAGTCATCATTTCTCCAAGCTAAAGAGCCCTAAGCGCCTTAACCGTTCCTCATAGGGAAAGTGTTCCAAGGTCTCTCCATCTGACTGCCCCTCCTGTGGAGCTGCTGGGGACTCTTCCTCCTCAGGCACTGTTGAGGGTTCTTCTTCTGGGCTGACTCCAGCTGGGTGGCTCCCTGCCTCTTCCTCATCTGAGGAGTAGTCAGCGTCAGCAGAGCCAGTACCCACGACAGTTAGACTCTGCTGAACAGGATGGGCCACTGAGGCTGGAACTCTTCCCCCTGCCCTGTTTGTCCACGGACATGATACACTGGGACTTTCTTTATTGATTGAGGATCGCCTCTCCCTCCTCCCACCCCCAATGGAGGGGGGACGGGGGACGGGACAAGCTTTGCTTACGACAAGAAACCTTTTCATAAAGTGCTGCTACCTTGTTTGCTGGGGTAAGTTCTCCATTTCGGGCCTCCCCTCCTTTGTGTATTTCTTCCTCGACTGCTGTTTTCTACTAGGAAAAGAGGCCTATCCCTCTTCAGTGAGCCAGTTTGATGCAGTGGTTAAGTGCGCGGGCTCTAATCTGGGAGAACCAGGTTTGATTCCCCCACTCACACCTGGCTGGATGACCTTGGGCAAGCCGTAGTTCTCATAAGAGCTGTCCTTGAAAAAGAGCCGTTTCTTTCAAGAGCTCTCTCAGCCCCACCTACCTCACAGGGTGTCTGTTGTGGGGAGGGGAAGGGAAAGGAGTTTGTAAGCCGCTCTGAGACTCCTTTGGGTAGTGGAGGGTGGGATAGAAATCCAATCTCTTCTTCTTTTACGTCACATTCAATGGTACAGGAATTACATAGAAGGATTGTGCCTATGGCAGTACATACTGGACAACTTAGTACAGACCACAGTCCCTGACCCTTTTATCAAAACATCTTCCTGAAAACATTTCATTGCCTAATTTGCAGAAAGCCAGGAGAATGGCGGCAACACAGAATGCACAGGGACAGGCAGTTGTTGGTTTTGCCCATTTGCAGGGAGCCACCTGCAGAAGGCCCTGCTCAGAGGAGCCGTCTTGGCGGAGCCAAGGGGGAGGGGGCGGTCCTGCCGGTATGAGGGACCCAGGCTGTGACGGGCTCTGTATGTGACGGCCAATCACTTCAGTTAAGCCCGATAAGAACATCAATTCAAGCAGAATCACCCATTTGGGTTTAACTGAGCAAACTTTCCGAGAGACTTATCTCTTCCAGTACAATGAAATATTTGAGGCCAGACTACAGATCTATTTTTTAAAATAGAGTTTTATCAGTTTATATATAGAAAGCGGGGAAGGGAAAAGAAAGGGGGGGGGGTGAAGAGTACCGAGTTGTATAAAACATTCCAAATTAACATTCTGCATGCAAAACCTGAGAGTTTCACAACTATTATAACCACCTTTCTTATTGTTCTTCATTTCATCTTAGTTTCTTAGTACTTCTATTTTAACCCGTCATAAAACAGCCTCCGTAAATTCTTCTTCCATTTTTCCTTTTAGTATATTTGTCAATCTGTCTGTTTCAGCACATTCCATAATCTTCGTTATCAAATCATTAAGTGTTCGGATTTTCAATGTCCTCCATGTCGTTGCGAATAAGATTCTGGCTTCTGTTATAACATGTAAAATAAGATATCTGTGGTTCTCATCAAAGTCATCTGGTAGACAGTTTAACAAGAGTATTTCTGGTTTAAAAACTATTGTAATACCAGACTTCAGATCTTGTGTGCATTTCAGAAATAATGATTTCATTCAAAATAAAGCATGCTCTTTGTATTAGGCAAAAATATGTTGAACAGGTGAAAGTTAATCATACAAGGACAGAAAAATGCACAAAATAGAAACCGCGTCTATTAACATTTCTCAAACGTAGCTAAATACGTAAGCATTACGATTCTCTAAGATTTAGGCAAGTCAGCTTTTAAGATGATACCAAGAAGCAGGGCTATTTTTGGGCAGGAACGCACAGGAATGGAGTTCCGGCTGGCTTCAGAGTTGGCCACACCCACTACAGCCAAAATCTCTGTGTGAGTGGCTGGAGAGCGACACCTGACCCCGCAACTCCAAGGCAGGTGGGCCAGGGGGCCCCCTGGAAGGATCAGTCCAAGGGCTGGCTTGCCCGGGCTCTTCGCAGGACAGATCCTTCCAAGGGAAGGCATGTGGTGTGGCCTAATATGCTAATGAGCTGTGCTGTCAGGGGTGTGGCCTAATATGCTAATGTGTTTCTGCTGTTGGGTGTGGCCTGTTATGCTAATAAGTTCCTGCTGGGCTTTTTCTACAAAAAAAAACCCTGCGAAGAAGGCTTTGTACAATGGGAAGCCCGGCACAATGTGATATGCTCACGCAATATAAGGTCTTTTCTGATTGGAAGCCACCAGTAGAAAGACTGGTTATTTATTTCTTCATTTATTATCAGATTTATACCCCACCCTCCCAGCTGAGGCCAGGGTATACATGACACTTTTGATAGAGGTGACAGAGGAAGAGAAATAAAACTTTTGAACTTGAACATGTGATTGTCCTCCAAATAAAACAAATACATCTTGATGGCTGCCATTAACTCTCAAGGCAAGGTTATAAAAGACAGAAATTGCTTGTAATTCCACAGCAATACATCTCCTATAATGACTCAGCCGGGCCCTACCCCACCTTCCTGAGTAGATATAAATTATCTGCCTACCATTTTTCTTCTGACCTTAACACAGAGAGTACTCCATCTTTCTGTGTTATACCTCTGAGGATGCCAGTCACAGCTACTGGTGAAACGTCAGGTACTACAATGCCAAGACCACGGCCATACAGCCCAGAAAATCTACAACAACCAATCTCCTATTTCCTCAGTTATACTAATAAACTGTCAAGGTTGAGAGGCGGTTCTGAACTTTTGCTACTGTTACTGAGGAGGAATTGAACTTTACAGAAGTTATGAAAAGACATAATTCAAAAACATTCATAAATATAATTAAAATCATGAATTTGCGACATATTTCCTCTCTCCTGTGTGTGTCCTTTGGTGGGGAATTATACCTCCACTAAGATGGAACCTATGGTTTCTCCGTGTGAATTCTTTGATGGGAAGTAAGACCGCAACTCCAACTGAAGCTTTTCCCACACTCCAAGCATTTATATGGTTTCTCTCCTGTGTGCATTCTTTGGTGGGAAATAAGACTGCAATTCATAGTGAAGCTTTTCCCACACTCCAGGCATTTATATGGTTTCTCCCCTGTGTGTGTTCTTCGGTGGGAAGTAAGGTGTCCATTCTTCCTGAAGCTTTTCCCACACTCCAGACACTTATATGGTTTCTCCCCTGTATGAATTCGTTGATGGGAAGTAAGATTGCTACTCTGAATGAAGCTTTTCCCACACTCTGGACATTTATATTTCTTCTCCCCTGTGTGAATTCTTTGATGCAAAGTAAGGTGTGAATTCTGACTGAACCTTTTCCCACATTGCAGGCATTCATATGGTTTCTCTCCTTTGTGAATTCTTTGATGGGAAGTAAGGCTTCCACTATGACTGAAACTTTTCCCACACTCCAGGCATTTATATTTCTTCTCACCTGTGTGTGTCCTTTGGTGGGAAGTAAGGTCTCCACTCTGACGGAAACTTTTCCCACACTCCAGGCATTTATATGGTTTCTCCCCTGTGTGAATTCTTTCATGGGAAGTAAGACTGCAGTGGTAACTGAAGCTTTTCCCACACTGCAGGCATTTATATTTTTTATCCCCTGTGTGTGTCCTTTGGTGTGAAATAAGGCCTATACTCTGACGGAAACTTTTCCCACAATCCAGGCATTTATATGGTTTCTCCCCTGTGTGAATTCTTTGATGAACACTAAGGTGTGAACTAAAGCTTTTTCCACACTCCAGGCATTTATATGGTTTCTCCCCTGAGTGAACTCTTTGATGGGAAGTAAGACCAGAACTCCAACAGAAGCTTTTGCCACACTCCAGGCATTTATATGGTTTTTCCCCTGTGTGCGTTCCTCGGTGGGAAGTAAGGTGTCCACTCTGAATGAAACTTTCTCCACACTCCAGGCATTTATATGGTTTCTCCCCTGTGTGAATTCTTTGATGGGAAGTAAGATTGCTACTGTGATTGAAGCTTTTCCCACACTCCAGGCATTTATATTTCTTCTCCCCTGCGTGTGTTCTTTGGTGGGAGATAAGGTATGCACTCTGACGGAAACTTTTCCCACACTCCAGGCATTTATATGGTTTCTCCCCTATGTGAATTCTTTGATGAGAAGTAAGTCGCGCTCTCTGCCTGAAACTTTTTCCACACTCCAGACATTCATATATTTTCTTTTTGCTACACTTCCTTTTCTGAATATTAATAACTGATATTGCAGTGAAGTTTTCGCTGCTTGCAGTGCACTCATTCCTGAAAAAAAGCTCCTTGACGTATGTTTTGCCATAGAGAGTCACCCCCCTGCAAAAGACCAGGATTATTCCTCCCTTTAGGTGGGTGTTTTCCTTCCTCCTTCCTTGGTGCATCCAAATATTCAAACTTATCTTTCACATCTGAATATGTATCCTCTTTTTTCGTCAATTGGTGTTCTTCTGCTCCATTCGCTGACTGCCACACGTAACCTGCTAAAAGAAAGGGATACCTGGTGTGATGATATGACACTTCCCACAAATACTTAATTTTCAGTCCAGGTTTTTCAGATATAAGCTTTTTGAGTCAAAGTTCCCTTCATCATATTAGATTCAGAATGGAAATTTCTTAGTCTTTATATCCCAGTATGAGGTGGGAGAGGTGTTGCAAAAAAAGGAACTCAAGATGCAGAGGTACCATGCACATCACAATTAGCTAGATTAGAACAAAGGAGAAATGCTTAGGGACAGAACAGAAATGCTTGGAGTAGAAAATTAGCATCTGTGAGATAAGAATCCTATGTCTCTGTTCAGTCCCGGGGGGGTCCATTGTTCTGAATTTGTGAATGAACTTAAGTTCAGCAATCATGCATTTTAATTTCTCCCTAAAGCTTCTCTGTTTAAGGAATGTCACTCTTAGGTCCATTTATTCTGTTGTGTAGGGATTGACCTGTTTGTCTGACGAACTGAATGGAAGGCCATTGCTGGCATTTGCTGGCATATACAATCCTGGAAGATAATAAGTGAATGAACCTGAGATGGTATGGTTGGTGTTATTGGGTCTTGGGACTGTGTTGCCCGAGTGAACCTGGGGACAGAGTTTGTTGCGGGCCCTGGTCTCAGATTCTGTGCCCATGTTAGGAAAGGCTTGGTTCTGGATTAGAAGATATTTAAAGCTAAGAGGCAAGAAAACGTTTGCCTCCCAGTGACTGTGAGAGAAATGTATTATCATCCAGCATAGGTTGTTAATGATGCACGGAACTGGTTTTAGCTGAGAGCTGTATGTGACTATCAGTAATGACCAGAAGAGAAGAGGAGATTGTATTTATACCCCGCCCTTCACTACCTGAAGGTGTCTTAGAGTGGCTTACAAGCTCCTTTCCCTTCCCCTCCCCACAACAGACACCCTGTGAGGTAAGTGTGGCTGAGAGAGCTCTTGAGAGAAATTGTTTTTTTCCAAGAACAGCTGTGCCAGAGCTTGTGACTGACCCAAGGCCATCCAGCAGGTGCAAGTGGAGGAGTGGGGAATCAAACCCAGTTCTCCCAGATTAGAGTCCGCGCACTTAACCACTACACCAAACTGGCTTTCCAGAGCCCTGAAGGATCAGACCAGTGGTCCATCTAGTCCAGCATCCTGTCTCACATAGTGGCCAACTGGTTGCTCCGCAGCACCAGGGTGTTGGACTGGATGGGCCACTGGCCTGATTGGCTTCTCTTATGTTCTTATGTTAATCACTTTGGAAGTGACAGACCCCTCCTGCATATTTGTTGAGGTAGGTAAACAGCTTCCTGCCTGGCAGATCCAGACAACATGCAATTGGCTATTAATTGGGAGAGACGAATCCTGACTAGGGTTTAAAGAATCCCTGGGAAAGCCAGGGATTGGAAGAGGTTAGATTTTCTATTGGCATATTGCATATGCACCAGACCCTTCACAATCACATGCAACCCTGCTCCATGCCTGGGAAATGGGGAGGTAAAATGTGGTCCACGTGAGAGCCGCCTGGGTTTGCTTCGAATAACATCTCTGCCATAAAGCACGTGCTTTGCTTTGCAGGCACAGAGAGCCAGCGTCAAGGCCTGGCATCTCTAGTGAAAGGGATCGCCAGCAAAGCAGGGCTGGCAAACACCCTGGCCTGAAAAACTCTGCCTTCCCGAGTGGACCATACTAGGCTAGACTTGGCCTAAGGGCCATAAGAGGAGGCAGAAGGGAACTGCCTCTTGTCCTGAACTGAAGATTTACAGACACCATTTCAACATCCACAATTCCTCCAAAGCAAACTAATTTATGCAGGGACATGTCAGCCTTTCCAAAAAACCGGAGGCAATACTCCATCTCAAGAGCAGGGGTCATTTCCTGCAGGAGCACACAGGAGCGGCGCTCCGGCAGTAAAGAGCCCAGGGGGCGGGCACATGCGACAAGCCCCACCCCCTGCTCCCAGCAGCCCTCAGTCAGAGCAAGAAGCAGCCAGGTGAGTTGCAGAGCCGCCACCCCCGCCCCCTGGTCCAAAACAGTCCAGTGGCACCTTTAAGACCAAGTTTTATTCAGGTACAAGCTCTCCCTCCTCTGCGAAGACAGATCTGCACCCCCCCCCAATAGCTAGCAATCCAAAACAGTCCAGTGGAGCCTGAGCAGTGGGTGTTGCCTTCTGACACACGTCCGGTGATGTCAGGGGGTGTGGCATATGCAAATAAGTTATGCTGATGAGTTATGCTAATGAGCTCCTGCACCTCTTTTTCTACGAAATGACCCCTGAAGAGAGATAACTCCCTACCTGCCAATCCCTCCTCTTCATCAGAGCCCAGGAGAAACAGTACCTCCTCTTCTTCTAGCCAGGATATGAGGTCAGGTTTGGCGATCTGAGGTCCTGTTTTATCAGGGGAAAGACCCACAAAATTAGACCTCTTCTGCGTGCCCATAAATAAAACAATTCCAAGCCAGTTTGATGGTCCCTCCAGAAACACACAAAGGCAAGTAATGGGAGTGGGACGGAGTACCATATGGGGTCAAGACTCGTCCCTCTGAGACTCTGTAGGAGCAGGGATATGGGGCCCACGCACACACGTACACCCAGCTCTGGGCCTCTCGGGACCTCAGCCTCCATGTGTAGAGACTGAAGACTGGTGCAGTACTTTCCCACAGAACAGTGAGATCCTTCTTTTAAAAGGGCTGACATTTATTAAGCTGAAAGGGAAAGACTGAAGGCAAGACAGAGTGACGGCAAGAAGGAAAGGAAGATTTTAAAGGCAGCTGGCGCTCAAAACACTTAAAATACCGATTCGGGCCATTCTGAATTCATCCATTATTAAGATCTTTGATGATTAAAACATGCAATTATGGCTGGCTCATGGCTAGTCCATGGGAGAGTTGTGAGGTTGCGTGCAGTCCCTGAAGAGCACGAGAGAAGAAAGGCTGGATGAGAGAGGGAAAGACAATGAAAGACTGCACGGAGGAGGGAGGGGGAGAGCTGTGCTGGACACACGGCCAAAAAGGGGGCAGACAGGAGCCAGGGAACCCGGGGAATTGGAGAGGGACGCTGGGAGGCCACCTGGCAGAAACCAGGAGCAGCATCAGAACAACGGGCAGAAGGACTATAGTGACTGTGGACCACAGTGAGAGAAAGAGGGAGAGATGAAGAAAGAGGGAGAAAGTAGATCATAGCTGCCAATCTGAAGACGGTGTCTGTCTCCTTTAGGGTAGCCAGGCCCCCCCTCGCCACCGGGACTGTTTGCTTACTTCTTGCAAGGCGCATCCTGAAAGCTCATTTTGCATTTTAAAGGATTTGGGCAATTATTTCCTCCAAGTTGGATCAAGCGGCTTCTTTGGATGTCTCTTCTCTGGGAATGAAAGCAAGAGGAGAAGAAGAAGAAGAAGAAGAAGAAGAAGAAGAAGAAGAAGAAGAAGAAGAAGAAGAAGAAGAAGAAGAAGAAGAAGAAGAAGAAGAAGAAG